TGTAGATGCTAGGGAAGGCACTGGTGACAGTGGTGTAGATGCTAGGGAAGGCACTGGTGACAGTGGTGTAGATGCTAGGGAAGGCACTGGTGACAGTGGTGTAGATGCTAGGGAAGGCACTGGTGACAGTGGTGTAGATGCTAGGGAAGGCACTGGTGACAGTGGTGTAGATGCTAGGGAAGGCACTGGTGACAGTGGTGTAGATGCTAGGGAAGGCACTGGTGACAGTGGTGTAGATGCTAGGGAAGGCACTGGTGACAGTGGTGTAGATGCTAGGGAAGGCACTGGTGACACTGGTGTAGATGCTAGGGAAGGCACTGGTGACAGTGGTGTAGATGCTAGGGAAGGCACTGGTGACACTGGTGTAGATGCTAGGGAAGGCACTGGTGACAGTGGTGTAGATGCTAGGGAAGGCACTGGTGACAGTGGTGTAGATGCTAGGGAAGGCACTGGTGACAGTGGTGTAAATGCTAGGGAAGGCACTGGTGACACTGGTGTAGATGCTAGGGAAGGCAATGGTGACACTGGTGTAGATGCTAGGGAAGGCACTGGTGACAGTGGTGTAGATGCTAGGGAAGGCACTGGTGACACTGGTGTAGATGCTAGGGAAGGCACTGGTGACAGTGGTGTAGATGCTAGGGAAGGCACTGGTGACACTGGTGTAGATGCTAGGGAAGGCACTGGTGACAGTGGTGTAGATGCTAGGGAAGGCACTGGTGACAGTGGTGTAGATGCTAGGGAAGGCACTGGTGACAGTGGTGTAGATGCTAGGGAAGGCACTGGTGACAGTGGTGTAGATGCTAGGGAAGGCACTGGTGACAGTGGTGTAGATGCTAGGGAAGGCACTGGTGACACTGGTGTAGATGCTAGGGAAGGCACTGGTGACACTGGTGTAGATGCTAGGGAAGGCACTGGTGACACTGGTGTAGATGCTAGGGAAGGCACTGGTGACAGTGGTGTAGATGCTAGGGAAGGCACTGGTGACAGTGGTGTAGATGCTAGGGAAGGCACTGGTGACACTGGTGTAGATGCTAGGGAAGGCACTGGTGACAGTGGTGTAGATGCTAGGGAAGGCACTGGTGACAGTGGTGTAGATGCTAGGGAAGGCACTGGTGACACTGGTGTAGATGCTAGGGAAGGCACTGGTGACACTGGTGTAGATGCTAGGGAAGGCACTGGTGGCACTGGTGTAGATGCTAGGGAAGGCACTGGTGACAGTGGTGTAGATGCTAGGGAAGGCACTGGTGACAGTGGTGTAGATGCTAGGGAAGGCACTGGTGACACTGGTGTAGATGCTAGGGAAGGCACTGGTGACAGTGGTGTAGATGCTAGGGAAGGCACTGGTGACAGTGGTGTAGATGCTAGGGAAGGCACTGGTGACACTGGTGTAGATGCTAGGGAAGGCACTGGTGACAGTGGTGTAGATGCTAGGGAAGGCACAGTGACACTGGTGTAGATGCTAGGGAAGGCACTGGTGACACTGGTGTAGATGCTAGGGAAGGCACTGGTGACAGTGGTGTAGATGCTAGGGAAGGCACTGGTGACAGTGGTGTAGATGCTAGGGAAGGCACTGGTGACAGTGGTGTAGATGCTAGGGAAGGCACTGGTGACAGTGGTGTAGATGCTAGGGAAGGCACTGGTGACAGTGGTGTAGATGCTAGGGAAGGCACTGGTGACAGTGGTGTAGATGCTAGGGAAGGCACTGGTGACAGTGGTGTAGATGCTAGGGAAGGCACTGGTGACAGTGGTGTAGATGCTAGGGAAGGCACTGGTGACAGTGGTGTAGATGCTAGGGAAGGCACTGGTGACAGTGGTGTAGATGCTAGGGAAGGCACTGGTGACAGTGGTGTAGATGCTAGGGAAGGCACTGGTGACAGTGGTGTAGATGCTAGGGAAGGCACTGGTGACACTGGTGTAGATGCTAGGGAAGGCACTGGTGACAGTGGTGTAGATGCTAGGGAAGGCACTGGTGACACTGGTGTAGATGCTAGGGAAGGCACTGGTGACAGTGGTGTAGATGCTAGGGAAGGCACTGGTGACAGTGGTGTAGATGCTAGGGAAGGCACTGGTGACAGTGGTGTAAATGCTAGGGAAGGCACTGGTGACACTGGTGTAGATGCTAGGGAAGGCAATGGTGACACTGGTGTAGATGCTAGGGAAGGCACTGGTGACAGTGGTGTAGATGCTAGGGAAGGCACTGGTGACACTGGTGTAGATGCTAGGGAAGGCACTGGTGACAGTGGTGTAGATGCTAGGGAAGGCACTGGTGACACTGGTGTAGATGCTAGGGAAGGCACTGGTGACAGTGGTGTAGATGCTAGGGAAGGCACTGGTGACAGTGGTGTAGATGCTAGGGAAGGCACTGGTGACAGTGGTGTAGATGCTAGGGAAGGCACTGGTGACAGTGGTGTAGATGCTAGGGAAGGCACTGGTGACAGTGGTGTAGATGCTAGGGAAGGCACTGATGACAGTGGTGTAGATGCTAGGGAAGGCACTGGTGACACTGGTGTAGATGCTAGGGAAGGCACTGGTGACAGTGGTGTAGATGCTAGGGAAGGCACTGGTGACACTGGTGTAGATGCTAGGGAAGGCACTGGTGACACTGGTGTAAAGCACGTAGTCTACTACTTTTAAAATTCATTGTAGTAACCATGGTAACAGCGAAGGCGATCAGGGACGCGGAGAAGCTGCTCCGTGACATGTGACTTCGACACCGCGTCGATCGACCTGCCACTTACTTTGGTTGGTTCCAGCGGTGATGAATCGAGCGATATGGCGACTCAGATTGAGACTCTATTCCCATCAATCGATCGTGTATTATACTGTACACATGTCCATTGAGCGTGTTGAAGTGTTTCTCTTCCAATAGAACACTTTTGTTGAGAACAGTAAACCTTGAAAAGTCATGTGAAGAAGTAATGAAGTTTTTGTTTCCGGAGGAAGCACTGTACCTGTGTTACAAAAGATGGATGCACAGGCAGGATTCAAACCCAGCACCCCTGGCCCTATGGTACTGGGACAGTGCCCTACCCATTACGCTACCGGGGATCACCCCCCCCCCCCCCCTCCCCCTCCGCAAGCACACACGGACACACACACACACATGAACACACACACACACACACACACACACACAATACAATAATGATACAACAATGCCCATCCGCGGGTTATGGCAGGTCCTGAAAGGGCCGACAGTGTCTCAGTCAGGGTCAACAGAACTTCGAGTGGCTAGTGAGGTCCTGGCGACGGCGAAAATCTCGGCCGCAGTGGCATATGAAATCCCGAGACACAGGTTTAGGCGGCTGGATGGTGTTGCAGGCCAGTCTCCACGAACGACGGTCCTCGGCTAGGCTGTACCACTGCCAGTCATTGGTGTGACGTTCCTCTAGGTCAATCACGATGTTGTCACGCTAGCGCTTGCGTGGCCTGTGGCGAGGGCGCGTCTTCTGGAGCTCACCAAACAATGCGCTTTTCGGTATTCTGCACACATGCACACACACACACACACACACACACACACGCACACACACACACACACACACTCACACACACACACACACTCACACACACACACTCACACACACACACACACACACACGCACATTCACACGCACACACCTTGACCTTGACCTAGCTTGACAAACAGCTGCCGTTAAACGGCTAGGCTGCCCTCATGAGGAGGGGAACAAAGCGTCACGGCAGAACATCCGGCTTCATGCCGCTGCAGATCCTGCTGTCTGCGATATCACACACAAACACACACACCCACACACACACACACACACACACACACACACACACACACACACACACACACACACACACACACACCAGCCAGTATTAATAATAATTAATTCGCCTAGCCTGGCAAATTTTCATGCGACTGGCCTCGCAGCTCTAATCACTTACGTAATACATATCAGCTGAAAAGACACAGACCTCTCTCCAGCTCTCTTTCAAACCCACATATCTTATCTGTTGATATTTGGCTGCGACTGAACATAACGCTTCTGACCGAAAAAAATTTCGGCTGATCTCTAGAGCCTAGAGGATAATCAACAATCCTGAGTAGTCATGTGATAGTACAGACTTCACCGTATATAGAAGACTAGGCATATGCGGGTAATGCCAGCAGAAAAATTGGCAGAATTCGGTACTTTTTCTGGTAAGTTTCATGCATGTTTTGTATGTGGATAAAGAAATGGAGCAGAATTCGAGGAATTGCCCGCCATAAGGTTTGTATGGTTCTGCCAATTTCACTGCTTTTCGAGCAGAATCTGCCACCTTTTCGAGCATTATCCGCACACCCCTATAGAAGACAGCCTGAGCGCATTCTCCGTATTTGGCAAAATTTGGTGGTAGCAGACTGGTGGCAAAAACGCGATGAAAAGTATTGTCACATGGCTACAGTCCATTCAGAAAAAGATGATATCCTACATGTAGCTTTTGGCCATAAACGGGTCAAATTTTGAGTTTTCGTCTCCTTTTTTTGGCAATCCCCCAGGCATGGTAACTGATTGATTTCACTACATACTCACTGAAAATTGCCGCACATCAATATTATTCGCCGCATATTTACCGCAAATTCACCGCAAATTATGCCATATTATGCCGCGTTTTCCCCCGCGTTTTTTGCGATTTTTTTCCGCAATTTTCCCCGGGGACAGACCACCGTGTGTACGTGTAGATCTCTTCTACGTGTGGTGCGTGTTGAGGCGCAGCGCAGACGTAGGCGAGTCGAGTGTGTTTTAGTTGTTCCATGCTTCCAATCCAAGTCAGTTCACGCATCGTACATGTATCATAGACATAATAATTATACTGTACAATCATGTAACGGCGAATACGGAGGCGTCGCTGCCTTGACGGTACGCGGTATGGGCCGTACCTCAGCTCAGTTCAAAGCAGGGAGTAGTAAAATACTACTCCCTGGTTCAAAGTCAAGCACTACAGACTACAGTACATGATTTTACATTGTTCCAAACTCACCACCTGCACAAACTTACTCGTACCGATCACGGGCTCTCTACTCTGCATCGCGCTCCTTTCCTTAGCTGCAACTGCAAAAGTATACTATCTATAAAGAAGCGTCCGCCAGTCTCGGTAAAGGCTAGTGTACTCAGCTGCCAGCTGCCGACCGGCCCGGATGCTCCGGCGTGTTGTAACATGACAATGCGAGAGCTACCATTCCGTCACTTTCGTCCTGTTCCGTAGAAATGCCGCTGCCTGCCCGGCGGTAGCGGAAGTTCCGACAGCGCACGGCTGTCCGTGCTCACGCAACATTGCACGTCTGCAGGTGGTAAACAGACCGCTTTTTGTATTAGTGATAAAGCCAGCGCAGAATGGGTTCCAATCAGTCGAAGCTTGACGACAGTAATGACATCGTAGCTAGCGCGGAACAGGACGACAGCAAATGGGAAGAATCGCTGAACTCCGTCACATCCCTAGACCTGGCTGGTCTGTCCGTGCAGGAGTTGGAAGCCGTCGAGACAGTTGTCCGAATACAACTGGAGTTCGAGCAGAAAGAGGCCCGGATGCTCAGGTACGAGTGCAAACCCATCACATACGCGTGTTTAGCCTTTGTAGAACACCTGTTCGTTGTTATTTTTTGTTGTTAGTGGGCTTCCAAGCATGAATGTTGAGTGATGGTGCATTGTGCTAACGAGGAGCAAAGAAAACAAATGTCACAGAATTGACACAAGGTATGTTAGTGACCAGTAGCACTAGTAATTATTATGCCCAGACTCCAGAGTATCATGGTTGTCATGTGCTAAGTATGACCGGTCGACCGTCAACAAAATGAACATGCATATACGCTAGCTAGACTTCAAAAAAAAATTCAGTATGGAAGACCATACTTTCAGTTGCACATAACACAAAGAGTACTCCATCTCTAAGAGTATTTGTGTTACCCCCCAAGAGTGTGCAACTCTGGATATGAGGTCTCCAAGAGCGAAATCTTCAATCAGGCCACCTAGAATTAATTCGTTGTTTCGGGTCACTTCACTCATCCGTACCAGGTTCGGTCGGTCGGGTTATTTTTTATTATATTTTTTATTATAGTTGCGGGCATGTGCATACATGTACAATTGTGCATATCGAATAGCTTTTCTCCATCAAGCCAGTCGATCAAATCTGACTGTAGTCGATCCAGCGTAGCCATTGTCCCATCAGATCCAGGTCTTCTCCAGGACCAGATCTTGGCCTCGCTGGCAAACGAGTCTGACGAGCAGCTCTCACCGAAGTCCTTGAAAACTTCTGTCAATGAGCGACGCAGTGGCGGAGCTAATGCTGTTTCAGGACCGATTGTGAATCGGAGATAGAAGACAACCTCGTCAACAAGTGCTGCATCCTGGCTGCTTCTGAGGTCGATGTCTGGACTGCTATATATGTTGGGTCGCGTGTGTACATAGTCTACCTTGTAGTCATGCACATTTGCATGCACAAAAAAAAAAAAAATTGCGGTCGGGTGAAAAAAGACGGTCGGTCGGGTGACCCGAAACAACGAATTAATTCTGGGTGGCCTCACGTGTTCTACACACTTTTCAAGTGCGCTTTGCACTCTGCCAGGGAGTACTGTTTTCTCCACTCCATTGCTCGCTATACTAAATCCTGGACGTGTACAGCGTGACCGCTGCATCACTTGATAAAGGTTTGTGCCGTCGATGGATCCCATAGCAAACCCATACGTCCATTATTTTCCTCATTTGCAGGGCGCTTGAAGCAGCAGCAAGCCGTCACATCTCCACAGCTTCTCCACCATCCCTGGACAGTGCCCCAAATAGCCCGCGTAAACGAGCCGCAACTTGGAGTGCATCTGAAGGTAAGCACGCAACATGTCTTACCTCTCTCTCTCTCTCTCTCTCTCTCTCTCTCTCTCTCTCTCTCTCTCTCTCTCTCTCTCTCTCTCTCTCTCTCTCTCTCTCTCTCTCTCTCTCTCTCTCTCTCTCTCTCTCTCTCTCTCTCTCTCTCTCTCTCTCTCTCTCCTGTACTCTTTTGCAGCTGTGCTCCATGTGTGTGTGACCTCAGCAGAGCATCTTGTTTAGAATGCCGCAGTTATATGACGGTGTGTTTTATCAAGGTACATGTATCCATTATGCGCTTGTGATAAACGGCCTCCATATCCAGAGTGCTCTGCTGGCTGTACTCGGCTGACCCGATACAATACTAATTGGGCACCGGGCCCAGACAGCATGGCAGCTTTGACCAGTGCACCATGATCAGACAGACAGAGTTCCTTGGCTGGACCCGCCTCATTGTGCTTTTTGGTCGGAAGGTTTTATATTAATTTTTTTACTCATTCCACCACCCAACTAATCATTACAAATGAGAAGAAAGACGATACAGTGTCTCCGATATTTCATTCGTGTGTTGCAGAATCATGTGAAAGATGCCCACAGTGCGGTGCAGAAACGCCATGCATCAAGCAGCGGATTTGCTTCCCGGAAGCCTCCAAAATGGTGAGGAGGGAAACATGCTTGTGCCACCTCAGTGGCTTATCTTATACATAATGATTGGCTTGTGGGCTTACCAGACAACTTTCAACAGTCTGTTCAGTGAGCGTGCAGCAGTGAAGTGCGTCCATTATCACACTTTTGTAAGCCATGGACATCAATATCCAATTTGATTTCGAGCTTGTATTATTGTTCTTCTCTGCATCACACCCACAGTCTTGTTTGTGCTGCTTATTTCATGCTTGCAGTTGGTTGCTTATGTTTGCAAAGGTATTAAATCATCCGTGCTTGTGCAATGCTATGTTTCTGACAGACCCAGTGGAGTGCATGTCAAAACTGCACACTAAAGACCGGTACTCAGCTAACAACAGGCAAATGGTTCCATGGTCATGATCTTGAACGATCGATTGCCATGAGCAAGGCAATGCTCACACGTATCGCAGAGGTGAGAGAACTAGAGGTGCCTTTGGTTAACCCGATGTGGCATTTTGTTCTTGAGATTCGTGTATTTGTGTGCGTTATGCTTGCATGCACGGGGTTTGGTTTCTGTGTGCCTGCCTTTGTGTTTGTGTGTGTGTGTGTGTGTGTGTGTGTATGTGCGTGCGTGCGTGCGTGCGTGCGTGCGTGCGTGCGTGCGTGTGTGTGTGCGTTATGCTTGCATGCACGGGGTTTGGTTTCTGTGTGCCTGCCTTTGTGTTTATGTGTGTTTGTGTGTGTGTGTGTGTGTGTGTGTGTGTGTGTGTGTGTGTGTGTGTGTGTGTGTGTGTGTGTGTGTGTGTGTGTGTGTGTGTGTGTGTGTGTGTGTGTGTGTGTGTGTGTGTGTGTGTGTGTGTGTGTGTGTGTGTGTGTGTGTGTGTGTGTGTGTGTGTGTGTGTGTGTGTGTGTGTGTGTGTGTGTGTGTGTGTGTGTGTGTGTGTGTGTGTGTGTGTGTGTGTGTGTGTGTGTGTGTGTGTGTGTGTGTGTGTGTGTGTGTGTGTGTGTGTGTGTGTGTGTGTGTGTGTGTGTGTGTGTGTGTGTGTGTGTGTGTGTGTGTGTGTGTGTGTGTGTGTGTGTGTGTGTGTGTGTGTGTGTGTGTGTGTGTGTGTGTGTGTGTGTGTGTGTGTGTGTGTGTGTGTGTGTGTGTGTGTGTGTGTGTGTGTGTGTGTGTGTGTGTGTGTGTGTGTGTGTGTGTGTGTGTGTGTGTGTGTGTGTGTGTGTGTGTGTGTGTGTGTGTGTGTGTGTGTGTGTGTGTGTGTGTGTGTGTGTGTGTGTGTGTGTGTGTGTGTGTGTGTGTGTGTGTGTGTGTGTGTGTGTGTGTGTGTGTGTGTGTGTGTGTGTGTGTGTGTGTGTGTGTGTGTGTGTGTGTGTGTGTGTGTGTGTGTGTGTGTGTGTGTGTGTGTGTGTGTGTGTGTGTGTGTGTGTGTGTGTGTGTGTGTGTGTGTGTGTGTGTGTGTGTGTGTGTGTGTGTGTGTGTGTGTGTGTGTGTGTGTGTGTGTGTGTGTGTGTGTGTGTGTGTGTGTGTGTGTGTGTGTGTGTGTGTGTGTGTGTGTGTGTGTGTGTGTGTGTGTGTGTGTGTGTGTGTGTGTGTGTGTGTGTGTGTGTGTGTGTGTGTGTGTGTGTGTGTGTGTGTGTGTGTGTGTGTGTGTGTGTGTGTGTGTGTGTGTGTGTGTGTGTGTGTGTGTGTGTGTGTGTGTGTGTGTGTGTGTGTGTGTGTGTGTGTGTGTGTGTGTGTGTGTGTGTGTGTGTGTGTGTGTGTGTGTGTGTGTGTGTGTGTGTGTGTGTGTGTGTGTGTGTGTGTGTGTGTGTGTGTGTGTGTGTGTGTGTGTGTGTGTGTGTGTGTGTGTGTGTGTGTGTGTGTGTGTGTGTGTGTGTGTGTGTGTGTGTGTGTGTGTGTGTGTGTGTGTGTGTGTGTGTGTGTGTGTGTGTGTGTGTGTGTGTGTGTGTGTGTGTGTGTGTGTGTGTGTGTGTGTGTGTGTGTGTGTGTGTGTGTGTGTGTGTGTGTGTGTGTGTGTGTGTGTGTGTGTGTGTGTGTGTGTGTGTGTGTGTGTGTGTGTGTGTGTGTGTGTGTGTGTGTGTGTGTGTGTGTGTGTGTGTGTGTGTGTGTGTGTGTGTGTGTGTGTGTGTGTGTGTGTGTGTGTGTGTGTGTGTGTGTGTGTGTGTGTGTGTGTGTGTGTGTGTGTGTGTGTGTGTGTGTGTGTGTGTGTGTGTGTGTGTGTGTGTGTGTGTGTGTGTGTGTGTGTGTGTGTGTGTGTGTGTGTGTGTGTGTGTGTGTGTGTGACAGAGTTGTAGCAAAGCATCACTGTTGTTTTTTGCTTGGTGATTTGAATGCAAACAAAATTCATGATTCGCGTGAGATTCAGGTAGACTGGGTTGTCCGCATCCGCAAGAACACCACCACATATGCCAAACAATGCTTCAAATGATTCATGATTACTTCATTAGAATGGAGGTAGAAAATATTAAATTAATGTTTGCTCCATGCTGCCCTGTGTGCCCTATCGACATAGTGTGTAATACAACAAACTCTCCTCCTCCATGCGCTCTAAAGCGGACCATTGCTACCCTCGGTAGCCATCTACTACTCACACCAGTAATTTCAAACAACGAAGGGGTCACGCGTAAAAAGAAAAGAAAAGGAAAAGTTTGTAGTACTAGTAGGGCATTTTTTTGTCTCGCGGAATGGCTCTCTTGCTATAATGGGTGTATTTCTACTTATTTATATCCTTGTCAAGCTCTCACCTCCGCTCAAGACCCGCAAACATTAGCCAGTGCAGGCCAATTTTTATTTTTCAAGGAAACCCTTCGAAAATGGTACCAATCGATTCAGCATGTCATTTTCATTCCTCCTGCAAAGTTTCAGCTGATTTGGAGTCATGACAAGGACACTATGGCGATTTGAAGATCGAAAAACTTCACTTTTGTTTGTCAAGAAGAAAGACTATGATCGCACACAAATCATACAACCCGTGTGGCACAATGATTTTTGAACGAAGTTGATCCGTCGACCCCGTGCTTCGCGCATGCACGCATGCATACTGCACAGTACAGAGGCTTTTTTGAACGCAGATATGTTGTTCTTCGTCTTCTTCGAAATGTCTTCCAAATGTGTGGTGCTGGTTTTGTTCTCAGCTTCGTCAAGGCAGAATGCAGCTGCATGTGATGCTCCTGTGTGTTCATGCATGTTCTCTTTTCGCGTCTCGACATTGTAGCGTCCAGACTCAGCTCGACTGGAGAAGATTGAGGAGACTATGCAGTGATCCACATGGAAAATCGATGAAATTTGGTAATTATCGTCGGGCGCTAAAAAGCGCTGGGGAGCATGGGGCTAAAACTTCGTAGCAGTCATCCCTACCATGACAGGCATCGACTGGTATATGTTCCATTCTGTTCCCAACCACTACGGGTCGTCTGCGAAGCTTTCTTCTTCGCCGATTCTCGGACAGATCGTACGTCTTCGCACTGTATCTCTCGTCTCCCTCAACGGATCAAAACACGGTTTTCGCCAGGACGAACACAAACCCCCAGATTTCGCGGCGGCAACATCTTCGAGTAGGGAAAAGCTAGCAGCTAACCAGGAATCACCAAAAAACACGTGTAATACTCAGTGTGATTTGCGACAGCTGTCATTGTGCCGTCGCACGATGCATGTACCATGCACGGGAATGGAACACGGATGAGTCGTTTTATTACGACAGCCTGCACTGGCTACAAACATTGTCATCAGACAATGAGTGATAATTATATGACTCTGTCACTCCACTCCACCACTCCACACTGCGTTCTTGGCCTACATTCATAACACCGTAGCGAGGAAATTCGTTCTCGGTTACATGTGTTGCATATCCTGGCTATGATGCTGTGAATGGGAGCCAAGAGTGTAGTGTTGAGTGGTGGAGTGTTCAAAAAAATTAAATGGCCTATTCCTGGCAGCTTCTACATTACTATCAATACAATAATGATTAATTATTGTGGTTATTCATGATGTTCTTATACATGTACATGTACATGTTGTTGTCACTAGTGCAAGCCACATGCCACTGTTGAACCAACAGTTCCTGACAGTATCAGTTTGCCTCTTGCTGGAAAGGCTGATACTTTATCAGCAGAGCTGGACACGCCAAGTCCAATCACTCCATTGTCAACTTCAAGTACCCTCTCAAGAGCCAAGGTATGTGTGCCAGACCAGGCTGGAATTGCTTTTGTCACAGCATGATGATGCCTTCTCATGTGTGGCTGGTTATAGTTAGTCAATATCTTCCTGGGAAACATGGATAGGATCCTATGGACAGGTGACATTCCCTTAGAGCAGATGTCACACTTCTGTTCTCTCAGGTATTTTCTGCATGTGGTGATTTTTATTCCTCTAGGACGTGATCATGAGGCTGTGCATTGCTTTATGAAGTGTTAAAATATATCCAGATACATGTGGTGGCAGAAAGGGAACTGGCGTGAATATGCAATTAAGGCGCTTGTTTCTTCAGCAACAGCTGTGACCAGGGGGCACTGCCACACGGTACGCGTACACTTGGGAATATAAACAGCCGTGGCTAAGGCTGTGTTTACATGAGAATTTTCAACCCGGGTCGAGTTCAGCCCGGGTTGAAAGTCTGTACGAGAGACAAACAAGGTGAGCGTTTACATGAAGGCAGTTGACCCGGGTCAAATACTGATATGCCGCCAAAAGTCCACTGCTAGAGTCCTGCATGATCACGTGAATACTTTCGCGCGAAATTTGCCCCTGTGCACTGCCATTCAAACCTGGCGCGAGATACGCATAGAAGAACATTAGTACGATTTCTTCGACCCGGGTTGATTTCAACCCTCCCTTGGGGGGGGGGGGGGGGGGGTTAAATCAACCCGGGTCAAGCGCAATGCGTCATGTAAACGCGCCATTCATTTTGTGTACATGGCGGGTTGAAATCTGACCCGGGTTGAAACGCCTCATGTAAACACAGCCTAAATCAGCCATGCTAGTGGGAACTCTGCCACTGATCTGGGTGTGAAAATGCCTGTAAAATTTAAAGCCAACCAGTAGTGTGAAGGTGTTTAGTTTTTTCAGCAGCAGTTGTGACCAGCGGGCACTGTCAACCAGTGGCAGTAGAAATAGCACTGGAAATAGCAGTGGCAAAATCAGCTATGCTAGTGGAAATTCTGCCACTGGTCTGCATGGCTTGTAGAATATCTGTAAAATTGAAAACCAGCCCACTACTTCAAAACGGGTTTATTCAAACAATACGACATGGAAAGAAGGAAGAACACCAAAAATACAAGGGATGAAACTCCGCGATGAAATCAAAATGAAAAATGGAAATAGTCTAATCCAAAGAAACTCTAGCCAGCCCACTACGGCTGTAGTCACAGGGGTGTGCATTGTATTATTAACATGCCGCCCACCGTGTAAACGGTTCTCACCCACCTACAGTTAGCACCTCACGCTTCTCTGCCCTCCCCTCATTTACACTTATAATACACTCAGCACAATGGTGCTTTGTTTCTTACTACTTTCACACAATTGCCTGTGTGAATAAACTTGTCAGTCCCAAAGCACTGTGGTGGTAGATTGCCTGGTCCCACACTCGTGTAAACTTGCCTGTTTCTTCACACACCTGCTGTATATAACCTAGCATCCATCACCGTTACCTGATGATTGAGTTATCTGCAGGATGTTGGCATATCTAACTACTTTTGATGGATAGCTTGCTGTGGGTACTTTCAAAGGTAGATTCTGCCTTGCTTTACTTGCTTTGTCAGAATCTGCTTGAATGCAGTATAATGTTCAAGAACCTTACTGGCGCCTTGCATTGTATGTGGATAAGAAATTCTGAGGTGCCCTGTGTGTAGGCGGTGGCCATCACTGTGGACTTCATGCCTATCATACCAGTATGGGTGTGTGCTGATAGCCCTTCATGTAGATAAGTGGCTCACTGTGTTGTGTGTTGTGATTGCTCTGCTCTGCTACAGCCGAAAGGAAATAGTTGGGCAGGACGAATCCAGGTATGGTGATGATGTTGATGACAATGAGTGCAAGGAAAGAATATTAGATATAGGTAATAAATGTAGGGGAATGGAATGCGATATGAGATACTACCTAATGTTGTATTGTTATCCGATCACTGTTCCTTGCGCTATCAAAGTAGAAGCCTTGTGTCTATCTAGTCTATTTCTGTTTCTGCGTGCACACACATTGCTGTCTTAGGCCTACATTAGTCATGACAACTCGGGCAAAACAATGAATGTCGCCGTTAGCAAAGTACTGGACCTAGTCGACGTTGAACCACATGCTCCTATTGGTATACAAGTAGCCTTGCAGCCACAGAGAAGGTGAGATGTGATTCCATTGCAGTTTTGCTAGTGATATGAAACATCTTGCCTGCAACGTTAATTCAAGAATATCTGGCGGCAATTGGTGCCTACTGGTGACTTCTTGATTTACTAGCTCAATATTCATTTGATTGAGCGGTACTTAAATACGTAAAAATTGAATGTGCCGGCTTTGAAGTACACATTTCCGACGTTGCCATCTTTTTTTTAAAACATACTTGAATTCAAAATACTGCTAGCTGAGAGTGTTGTGAGGAAGTGGTGATATGTGTTCGAACGGAATTTACAATTACGATAAACAGGAGGGATAGGAGACTGTGCCTTCATTGTGTTGTGCTGTGCTTTGCAGTTCAGCTGATTGTCAAGTCAGCAAGGTGGCCTATTCAAGAGACAATGGCTCCGTGGAAGTTGGCCAAGTCCTGTCTTGGCCTCGTCTCAAGCGGAAAGAGGTTCGTTGGGGAATGTTTCTAGAAGAAAGAGCAACCCTATTGAGTTAACTCTTTACCATCCGTGCGTACTTGAATCGATCTCTAGAGATCGATGGACATGCATACACTAAAACATTCGTAACTCGATCGATTCTTGTCGGAATTTAAAGAACTAAATATCTAGGAAGAAGCCGAAGAGCCCAGCTTTCCATTGCATCAATCGGTAAAGACCTGCGATGTCGCATTCCAAAGATATTTCGCTCGACATTTCAGCTACGGCAAAAGTCGAATTTCTTTCCGAGTGACTGACCTTGAGCGGGGATTTCCCCTCTCCTGACATGCTGAGTCACTTTGGCATGCTTCGAGCGCGTGGGCAGCATGAAAAGAAACTCAAGCAAAAAATTTGGAATGTTTACGATGAAGGAGCGAGAAATGGCTGGCGAGGAGAGAATTTCCTCGTATATACAGCGATGGGGTGTATTTGAAGCTCCCTGGCGCTGGATATGTGATCTCAGTAGTGTCCTGTTTGAGCTCAATGTACGCAGCTCGTGGAGAGCTTTCCAGAATGCTCAAGATTGTGAAAATTGGTTGATTAGAACAGAAGATATTCTCAGAATAAGGTGAGAATTATTGCATTTGGGACTGCTGGGGAAATTTGGTCGGATGGTAAAGGGTTAAGGCTGTGCAGAAAAGAGGGGCATTTGTAAACATGTATACTGTCCAATAGCTCGGTAACAGTGACGTTCTGCAAAAGGCCCGGCTGTTTACATGTACACTAAGAAAATGTAATGCATCAAAATGTGTGACCGTAGTACGACAAGGATTCACTATCCACACATTCGTGTAAATGCATGTGCACATGGTCACACATACCACCATACACACACACACACACACACACACACACACACACACACACACACACACACACATGCGCACGCACGCGCACACACACACACACATCCACATGCATGCACACACATGTACGAATGCACACGTGCACACACACACACACATACGCGTGCGAACAGTAATTTTCTTCCTTGTATATTGTCTCTTGACATGCACCTATCCTATGTGCACTAACATGCAGTATTGAATGTTCCTGTTATGATTATGTCTTGCAGGCAAACACGATGTCTCTCCAGATCAGTGTATGGTTTGCCAAGCCACTGGAGCTGCTTGGAAAGGTGAACCATTAGAGAACACTGTTCACTCAAATTGTAATCTCACTTCAGGGGCAATCCAGCATTATCTATAATTTTCTCCGAACGAAAAAGTGACGATGGCCAAGTGCCAAAACGTTGTAAAATAACGGAACTGGTTCGGATGTGCAGCGCTATATGAAGGGATGTGTCTACCTGGATTCCTTTCAGAGATGAAGCTGCCGGAAATCTCAGCCCTTCTTCAGAAAAAGTTTAGTTATGAAAACAACCCATAGCATTGCACGACAACGCTACCACCAACTTCGTGATGGGATTATTCTGATTGCTCAGTCCAGACGTGGACCTCCTTGTAAATCCTTAATCTGCTTCTATGTTTCCCTTTCATAGGCAGATGTGTCCTTGAGTTCGATGTTGAAGGGCAAAGGTGACAGCTCACCACAGTTCTTCAGCCTGTTCTACAATGCCAATGCCAGTATGTATGACCAGGTAAGCGCTCAACTGCTAGACCTTTCCTGGAGAGTGGAAAGTAGGATTGTGTCAGACGGAATGCTGGAGGAATTTTAATATGCACCGTCACCTGATACGGCTTTGTGGAAAGGATGTGGAGAGTTCTGCTTGCCAGAGACTTGCCATTTGATCAGTACCAGGTAGGAATGCTAACAGCTTACTTAAGCCTTAGTATGACATGCTATCTGTCCCGCTCACACCAGATACAATAGTACGCCGTGCGTTAATGAGCTTTTACTTAAAAGTAACAGAGCAGAGTGCATGGAGCTTGTGCTGTTTGACGAGCTTGCATCTGTTACTCTAAGAAATCCTCTCACAGTGAATAGGCAACTGTGAGCATGCAACACAACTCTTTTTTATCAGTACTGTTTTAAACGCATTAATTTCGTCTGTTCTGCTCTAGGTTGTCGCTCTACCTTCCTTTGCCTTCCTGGATATACAAGAAGAGCTCTCTGTTCGCCGTTCAACCGTTCAACTCGCCGAATCCGCAGCGGTAAGGATAACCTGTTGTGTGAGGTTAGTAGTGTGAAAATATAATGCGTGCAAGTATCATTGTGAGGAGAGCCGATTCCCATCGACTTATAAGGTGTGTTATCAATCCAGCACAGATTGTTCTAGTTCGCAAAGGCTTCCATTGCCTGGTGTATCTTGTGCTGTTCATATGTGATCAGATATGTGTTGTGCGTGTGTGTGTGAACATTGTCAGGCCAAACAGTTGGGCAGAATTGCATCAGCGCAAGACATCACCGACATTGACAATATAGAAGTGAGAACGCCAGCGAAGTTCGAGAAGTCCGACGGTACTCTGTTCTTCGGAGCTGAGAGCCAGGACATTTTCCTGGAGAAGAGATCGTTCCAGAACAACTCCACGGTCTCCAGCAGTGCAGACACTGATTTTTTGTCCAGTGTTGAGGATGGGAATATCGCAGAGAAAGAAGGTACATCCACGTTGGACTCATCCATGAAGGAGTTTGAAGACGAGGTAATAATGTATTTTAACTAGCCATAACAGCAACTACTCTTTGGACACACTATACTATTGATTTACTGCATCATTGGGCACAAAGGAAGCATGGGCTATATTTTCAGGAGTGTAATTCGATCAAGCCACATGCAGCACCTGATTCTTGATTTACAAACGAGTGTAGTCGTCCACAGGATGCATAGTTTGTGTGTACGGAAATAACACAGTCAAGAACCAAACTGTCAAGGCACTGGATATAGATAGAAAATTCATGGGTTGTGTTAGAGCTAATCAGATTGACTTTTCAGTGTCCGTAGGCAGAGGCAGCCATCCTCGAGAAGACCCTGATGTGGTGAGGATGGCTAGATCACACTCGCCAGAGTTTGAAAGAGCAAAACAATTGATTGCCACCACCAGGACTCAAACCAGGGACCTTCGCTTGAGGCCAGCGATGCCCCAACCACTGATCGAGGGTGTAGCTATCATCCCAACAGAATAGCTAGCATTCACAATTAGATAGCAGATCAAATATTCTTTGTACTGCTGATCTTTCCCATCTAATTTCTTGTTAGATTGCTGAAGTCAGTTCTCAGCTTGATTTGCTGGAAGAAGAGGAGAAAGACAAGCCACATGTACCTGTGAAGGATGACACTGACGATGACTCTGACTGTAGGCATAACTTGCCAACCCTGGAGAACATCGCTGAGGGACTAGATGATGGCACAGAGCTAATGACTCCATCCAGTGTTGGTCGAGGGGTGATTGTCGTAACGGATGAGCTAGGTAGCGTTCACAACCGAGAATCCTTTGCGGTAAGGGCTCGGTGGTGTTTCCACCATAGGCGGTAATTACATGAAATAGACTAGACCATTGCTATGGCATGTGTGTTCAAATCACCCACGCCAACACTAGACCGCATGTCACAATCGTGAGGCTCTCTCAAGAACTGAGCAATACTTTTTGATGCTCTTGACCTTAATTAACCAACAGAGTGTGTCCGTGAAGACAAGGTTGACATACTACTGTAACATTATAGAATGATGTCATTCATCACACCTTGCGTGTACAATGATGTCATTCATCACACATTGCATGTACAATGATGTCATTCATCACACCTTGCATGTACAATGATGTCATTCATCACACCTTGCATGTATGACATGTTGGTATTGCATCACCTTGATTGACGTACAATGTCACTTTATAACTAGACAGTATGGAACACTTTTCTATGCGCATTGATGTATTTTTAGGAACTCTGAAACGCCATTGAAGCCTGGTCATACTTTCAGTACACCCAACTCGCAACACACGAACAGTCCTTGGCTACACCACGTACAGTTGAAATTGTCCATATTTTCACCCAGGAGGGCATCATCAGGGATACAGGAGAAGAATGATGCGTTGATGTATGGAAAAAAATATTTGGCATAATGAGGGGAGCTGCACTGCCATGTTTTCTGATTATGGATGTGCTTGTGTGTATTTTCTGCATGCTTGCTGGACATGGCGAGACAGATTCCAGAGAAACGGGCAACACTTCTTCGAGGTGAGTCATTCATCAAGGCGTGCTTTGAAGAGTTTTCAAACCCTTTGGAGCACCACTGACAGTTGCTATTTTTGTCTGCGGCTTGTGTTTTTGTTCATCATAACTTAATGCCCCGGAAAGCAGTAGTGTGATTTTCACTGATTTAGGCAATCACAACTGATCAAGCTGCTTGCCTCTTGCTCTACCTTTTGGTCCCACAGGGTCCAGCTTGGAGCACAGTGAGACGCCCACTCCTGAGGGTTGGTAACTGAATCATATTGTAATCCGGGAACCTTTAGTCCTCCAAGCATGTTGTGATACTCCGCAAACCTTATCCGCATCTCATCGCTAACTGAAACTTGTTCTTGGACTGCGTTCCCCAAGACGTGCTAATACTTTTATATTTTCTGGCGTCCCAGTTTCGTAAGCACTGCTTTGAGCTTGGGATCTGTTTGAATAAAAATAAAAGCTGGTTCTGTCCTGCTTCTACTAGTTCATACTGAGAATCATAGTGTGATAGCATGTAATAGTTCATTTGCTTTTTGTAGAATTTGCTTTTTCTTTCAATTTTTCTTCGGCAGATTCTACACCTGAAGCAGACCGTATGATTGCTCAGACGTCCTGGACGGGCCGTCAGATCAGCCCTGTGAAGGGGTATCAGCCCAAACCCAAAGACCCGAAGCAGGACGCTGCAACGTACTCTCCTGTGGCACGGGAAAGAGATCAGATGACCAAAGAGAGCCCAACCGGCCTACCCAATCCCTACGTGAACATATCGAAAAATCCGCAAGCGTAAGGGATTTGTCGCACGGGCCGTTTCTGGGGATGGAAGAGACAGCCTTGTACTGCTGTGTATTTGAGTGTGTGGTCCTAAATTAGTACAGGCAATGGACAGTGTGTGCACTTTCTAAAGGTTCTATGGCAAGGTGACATCATCTTTTATAGATACTTCGAGTAGCTTCCTGTGTACACTGAGTGTGCTGGACGTATCTATCCACCAGTTTCATGTGGAGAGTTTATTTGGATATTTGTTTGCATTGCACACTCCATGCCTGTGAACAGGGCAATGAAGGGCATACAGTACTCGCCTGAGCGCAGCGTGGACACGGCAAGCCTGGAATCAAGCCCATCGCGAACAGGCTCACCCGTGTCCACCACCGACGTCAAGTCAGGTACTTGCTTGACATGTGGTGCTGTTTGTGTGAACTTGGGAATATGTTGACATGGGGGAAAGGGGGGGGGGGGCTTGTTTGTCCGTTTACTCGATCCTCGCACCCTACATTCTACTAAATGATTACTATTCACGAATTGGAACATCACTTGCACTATGGCACACATGCCAGTGCAGGCATGCTCAATGCTGATAACATTCGATACATGGTACAATGCTGTGCTGGGTTCTATTCTGTGTCTTTGTGCATCCTCTATGCAGCTTACACGACGTCAATCCGCCTGTCGATTCAGGAAGTACGCATTTATGCTCTAGAAGTGACCGTACATCAAGTAAAGAATGTGGACCGCTTCCAGCTTGATGGCAGACCAGTTCCATCAGGTTAGTACACTGCTACTACTGCTACTAATTGTACAGTGCTACTCAATGAAATCCGATCCAGCGAACGAATGCCACGCCGGCCGCTGAGCAGCCCCAGACCTGTGGGCACTGGGATGGGAACTGGTGCGGGGCGCAAACCTGTTTCACGCGATCGGGTTTCATTGAGCAGAACTGTATATTCTGTGAAGAATTCCTTTTCAAGGTAGAGCGAAGTTGTGGCTATTTTGTAAAAAAAATAAAAACGAGAGAGCTTGGAAGCTCAGGGCCCTACGCTATGCTTTTTTGCCTTGATGACCTAGACCAAAAAAAGCATAGGTATGTTATAAATTCTTATAAATTTCTCATTTTTTTTTTACATAACCTGGGATTCGAACCCGCACTATCGCCCTGCATGCATCCCCCGATACACTTCGCATACATACATACTAATTCTTCCAAGTTGCTTCACGTTATGATCTTTCATTTGAAAGCCCTATTTGAATATGCATTGTGACCAGCCTTCTTTGATGGTCCGGTACGGTACGGGACAGGTACGGGACAGGTACGGGACAGGTACGGTCGAGGTAATACGACACCGTCTACCGCATTGATGACATAGGCAAAAAACAGCATAGGGATGTTATAAATTTTCAATTCTCCTTTTTTTCAGGCATAACCTGGGATTCGAACCCGCACTATCACCCTACATGCATTCCCTCATACACTTCGCATTCATGCTCATTCTTCCAAGTTGCTTCACGTTATGATCTTGCGTTTGAAAGCCCTATTTGAATATTGCGGCCAGCTGCATGTGGCCAGCTAGCTGTGTTTGATGGTACGGTACGGTACGGGACAGATACGGGATAGCGCCAGGTGTGACACAAACAAACAAACAAACACCAAATTAAAGCTGTGTGGACCCTGGCTAGCGCCAGACGTTACTGAAGTAACGTCTTCTGCATAGCTACGGGAATAAAAATTTAATAAAGCATGCTACTATCATTCAGAACGCATGGGCAAATGAACCATTTCCCAAGCTCTATCATACTCTGCACATACAGTTTGACAATTTTTTAATTCCAGGGACGAAGTAGTTGTACAATTATTGAACCATATCTTTAAGATGAGAGGCATCAGTTCTGGCACATGCGGAATCAATATTGAGCTTGGCTCACTCCTTCCTTACAGTATTTCGGTAACTTTAGTTGTCCACAATTCCATTGTTCGCCAGGTTGCGTCGAAAATATATCATGAATTGCTTATCTTTATAGTATTCGAAGATGCCGAGACCTCAGGTCGGCTGAGCATGGCATGCCCCACCCGCGCACCATCCCACCCCATGCTAGCCCCATGTGCCTGCCGGTGAATTGTGGATCTAGTAAAAATAAAATAAAACAAAAATTCGAGTAGCTCCAGTGTGACCTGACTGACCTGTAGAGTGTAAGTGGTGTGTGTTTACTGCATTACCCACACTCCACCATACTCCGGAGCAATGAAGATATAACTTTAACTAATGACTGTTATATTTCTCCTCTTCAGGCCTGTACTGCAAGATCTACATGACGTCTGATGGCAAGAAGTTCAAAGCCAAGACGCGTCCGGTGGCGTACGCTAACAATGTTACCTTCGATGAGACGCTCACTCTGAATGGCAGACTGCAAAATGCCGAGCTCGAGGTACGCTGTTTTCAAACTGCGTGCTGTTTCTAAGACTAAAGGTGTTAGCAAGTTGGGTTCAAGTTGTTAGCATATGCAAGTACATGTAGGGCTTGTCTACATGGAATACATGCTATCAGCCTAATGTAACTGTTGTATACATGATATGTACCTGACCAACTTCAAACCTTTGTGTGCATGTGTGCTGGTGTGGTGTATGCGTTTCCTTGTGTGTATGGGTGCGTGCGCCTGTGTATGTGTTTGTTTGTCTGGGTCCGTGTGTGTCTGTCTGTCTGTCTGTCTGTGTATGTGCCTGTGCCTGCCCGCACCTATGCACATTATATCCGGTACAGGTGATGATCTGGGAGACGCATGGATTGGTAGGTCGGCACGTGATGACCTGTACCTGCAACATCTCTATACCGCACCTCAACCTGAAACGCCACACCGCGGTCACTCACTGGTACAAACTCATGCAGCCAATGCTGGCACCGGCTGCCACGGCCACAGGTACAGGTACTGAGCTGAAGAGGGCGCCGTCGAGAGGCAGCCTCTCTTCCTGGGTATTCCACAAGCAACGTTAGTGCACCCCTCATCCCTTAATAGCCGATTGGCAATTGAGAAAGCCCACCAGCCGCTTTTGCCGCACTGCAGGATAGTGTCATGCTGCTGCTGACTGCACACCATGTGCACATGCACAAGCACACCCGTTCTAACCTAAATACCCTTGAGAAAGCTAACAACCGCTTTTGCCGCACTGCAGAATAGTGTCATTGCTACTGCTGACCGCACCGTACCATATACATGTACACACACTCACACTCGTTATAACCTAATTGATCAGTCAACACTTGAGTAGGAAATCTAGTACGAACCGTCAGCATTCCATAATGTCTGTTCACGGATAACTCTTGCGCCGAACTAAATTATAACGGACTCATCCCTCCCGCTCCGCAGCTTATTTCATGTATATGATTTGCTTGCATATTAGAGGACCAGTAGAGACACTCAAAGTCATCGTGACAACTCAGTTCAGAAGGCTTCCCCCCTCTTACCTATTTTTCTGATCTAGCAGTGCTGATTTTGCTTGACCGTGACTTCTGTGTGTTAAATGACTCTCGCATCAAACATGACTTTTTCACATCATGCCATTTCAAGTTTAAAGTGAAGCAATAAAATTGAGTAAGTCTTGGAGGTGAAAAAGCAAAATATTTTATAAAGGAAAACCAAATGGGGCAGAGGACAGTAGTTATACAGCAGAAAGAGCAGAGGTTCTCAAATTTAAACTTTCAAAAGTTCTAGACATAATTTGTCTAAGATGTCCTGACCTATGATATTCAGGATGTGCATGAATTGGTAATGGAACACAAAGCACCTATTCAAAAGGTTGAAGGTTCTATCTAGGCTTTGAAGGTTTCCTCCATTTTGTTCATTTCATGTTCAATCGTACCAGATGTTCCATAGACGTTCTTGTACTGATCAATACCTGTCATGATATAGAACAGTAGCAGAGCAACGAGCAGTAGTACATTTGTGGCAGCAAATATCCACTCGGTAGCTATGCTGTTCCCCGTGTGAATCATGACCAAAGCATCAATCCAGCCGGCCGAAATCACCAGGAACACGCCGAGAGAGGCGAGCGTACGGCTGGCATCGTGCCACAGCTCGCGTCGGTCGCTGGCCGTCGTCACATCCCTCTTATCCTGCCATAGCACGCGTAGCAGCGAAGCATACACCGCTGTACTGAGCAACATCAGGGCGGCTGTGACACCAACGACACCGGCGAAGAATGGCGTCCCCGTAACGAAGCAGCTGTTAGAAAAAATGCCATATGCAACGAGAAGGTGCTATAGATTTATTCGAAGATATTTAAATTTATGTAGAATGGAAAAAGACATTATGGATACGAGTTAAGAGTAACTCTCCATCACTGTAACATAATACTTTATACAGTCAGAAAGTGCAATAACTAGGCACAAAACTGACAGAGTACTGAGACATTCGACATCCTGACACCTAGCTTCAACACATCTCCGTAGCGCTAACCGACAGCCTTCCAACTTGGAAGGTTCAAGGTTATGGAAAGACCAAAGAGGGGAAGGCAAGCGCAACGAAAACGAGCAAAAGCTACAGTCCCAACGGAACAAAGAATATCGATTGTTACTGGACGATGAGGAGACCAGTACGATATTTGACAAAGCGGTCTAACTACAATTCGAAGCAGCAAAGCAGCACACCACCCAACTCGGGTGGGTCATAAATATCAAAGATAAGTAAAGAAATGGGAAGCTTTTTGCCTTCCCCTCTTTGGTCTTTCCGTAACCTTGAACCTTCCAAGTTGGAAGGCTGTCGGTTAGCGCTACGGAGATGTGTTGAAGCTAGGTGTCAGGACGTCGAATGTCTCAGTATGACTGTCAGTTTTGTGCCTAGTTATCGCACTTTCTGACTGTATAAAGTATCATGTTACAGTGATGGAGAGTTACTCTTAACTCGTATCCATAATGTCTTTTTCCATTCTACATTTATTAATGGCTCAACATCCGAGTTTCAAATATTTAAATTTCAAAAACATTTTGTAGGGGTTGTACGATGAAACTCTATTGTTGCTGAAAACAACTTACATACGGATGGCATTACATGTAAGTTTCATTATTGTATTCAAAGGTCTGCTGCAATATCTGTACAAACTACACGTACTCTCCTCTTCGAAAACAGAGCTTCGGGTTGTATAGGATTAGACTGATCATTTGACAACGAAAAGGTACCCGGACTTGGCAACACTCAAGGAACTCCCTTCTCATGCCTGTGTGTGTGTGTGTGTGTGTGTGTGCACTTACAATGGGTACTGGGATGTGACGAGCTCTGAGGCAGAACAACCTTCATTGACGACATTTCTCATTGCGTACTGGTTGCGCGAGAAGTAGGCTGTAATGGCTGTTGCGACCAGCGAGACAGCTGAATATCGAGATACGAGTAGAACACATGCATCAAGGTCACCAAAGAGGCTGCTTTATCCTAGCATCTCGTCGCGCGTATGCAAACCTCACACAGTGCAACATTACTGTAGGTAAGTTGAGACGTGAGCTCTATTAGAAATTTACGATTGACCTATCGGCTACCTCGCACGGAGATGGTGAATCTTTCAAGATAATGACATTTTCATTCACACTGAAGGATTTTGTTTCTGCACAGTATTCAGTTTCGGAGATTTTACTTGACCAATTTTAGAGATTTTACTTGGAAGTACATAACAGTAGGTGTATGTCCTGTTGGATGCAACATCATTATTGTAGGCCAAGCAAGGGCAGTGATCTAGCCAAAGCCGGCTGGGAGGGCGACCTGCTGGCTGTGACAGCTCCAAGGGTAATTTTGCCGGCTGCAGTCACCCCATGTAGACTGTAGTGCACTGCACTAGCACTTGAGTGAGATGGTGGAGTACAACCCATATCCTAGGGGTAGGTATGCACAGTACAGTACGTAGCACTGGCTACTCAGGCTCAGTGCTAGCTCTTCACTCAAGATCAAGCTCAAATGCACTTGAGTATGCACTTGAGTACGTCAGTAAAATGTAACAGGCCTGTTGGGTTATGGTTCGCTGCTTCTGGTGGTGTACAGGCTGTGGCTAGACTGGGTCTTGTCAGATGACCAATGTACACTGCATGCAGACATGACCTTGGTGAACACATGATCCATGCTCATGTAGCTTCCTTTTTCATATTTTGTTAATTTACCTATAATCACATTTTCACAACTGCCTGATGAATGCCCATAATTGGACGAAGCGAAAGGAGATGCAAGCTGCAATGAAAGATTTGTAGTGGTGTGTGTGTGTGTGTGTCTGTGTGGATACGTGACTGATGGCGGGGGTCTGTGCGCCCCCAGAACGATGCATTTTAACTAGAACGTTGGCCGGCTGGCATAAAATCCTGGCTAGACCTCTGAAGGGTGTTTATCGACATCACGTAAGGCAAGCAACAGATTTTCATCCACATCGCTTAGGCTAAGCAAGGAGCAAACTACGCCACAGGAAGTTCATGTACTTACTACTTACCAATTGAGAAGAAAGCCGACCTGTAGAGGAAAGTCTTTTCTCGAGAAAAGATCACGTTCAGCTCCCGATACAGGAATACTGCCTGGACTGCCAGGGTGCAGAATGTCAGGATGAGGAAAAACTGAGTTAGAATGCCGACAGCCTGGCACGCCGTGTCATCACTGCGCGCCTCTTCCACAGCACAGCAGACGGCAAGTAGGGAAAGGAGAGAGAGGCAGATGCACAGGTGTATCCTTGTTTGCACTTTCCGAAGGTGTTTCCTGCAAACGAGACATGCACAGACACCCTGCTGAGATGATGCTCAATACAGTGAAAAGAGACATACACAAATAGCATGCTCAATACAATGGTTTACGTGAAAATAATTCAGAACTCTTCACCAGCTGTAGTAGCAATCGTCAAGGACCAAGTTATAACATGCTGCTCCCAATGCATGGGGGAGACAGACAGACAGACAGCCAGAAAGACAGACAGACAGAAAGACAGACAGACAGGGACAGAGAGGGAGAGAGAGAGAGAGAGTGAGAGAGAGAGAGAGATAGAGAGAGAGAGAGGGAGAGAGAGAGAGAGAGAGAGAGAGAGAGAGAGAGAGAGAGAGAGAGAGAGAGAGAGGAGAGAGAGAGAGAAGGGGGTTGAGGAACTTTATAATGTGATTAAATGTTACAAATGGACCATAGACAATGCTTTAGACAGCTAGCTCAGACCATTCATATTATCGCAAGTGATAACATTCCTCACCGGCTTATCAAATGCAGAATTATAGCCAAGCCCAGGCCCAGGATTCCAATTCCACAACCGACATATGCAACTATGCTGAGGTCCTGAGAACATACAAGTATACCGTAAACAAGAGGTTCAAGAAAAACAAAAATGACTCACAATTACCGTACTGGGAACTCACATGGTGAGCCAAGGAAAAACTTTGTAACATGGAAATCGTGGGCACGAGTTATGCCATCTGGTTTAGTTGGTGGACTCGATCGCATAACTTGTGCCCACAATTTCCATGTTACAAATTACCGTATTTCCCGGATTATACTCGTAAGTCGCATCCCCATAATTATTCAGGTTTGAGCAATATCGTTTTGATAGTAAGTCATGCTCGATTTTAGATTAAGTCACACCCTTTCACCCTTGAATTTTAGTGTATTAAAAAATGGTACGACTTATATTCGGGGAAATAGGATACTCCGCTCCGAATTCCTTGGGCCCATTTCGCTTCAGCAACCTTGCCTGATACGCTTCATACCGATTGCTGGTGAGCGTAGTATCTCATGATCATGTACATATTTGGCCCCGGCCTAAAGCGCAGCTCTTGACACCAGTAATACCAACATCAAGTACTGGATTCTAGACCGGGCCATTGCCTAACAGCTGGCCTCAATAATCCGCACTCAAATACACACCAGTCAACATCACAACGCCACTCAACATCATAACAGTCTCTGATTATTGTGAATGATGAACAGAAACTAACTGACCTCTTCTTGGCTTGGTGCGTCTCCAGTCAGCAGGATTGCAAAGTTTGCCAAACGATCACAATCACACGTCACCACACCCGGTATGGACAGGACAGTGCGGCATCCTTCCGTACTCCACCGTCGCAGTGTGACATTGTAGAAAGCACAGCGGGCACCGGTACTCGTACCCTTCAGGAGCAAGTATACCAGGGAGAAAGCACAAGAAGTCCTCGAACAAACTTGTGGATCAGTTTCCATACTCGCATGCTGAGCCATTAGTTGCACTGGCAACAGTCATGAGACACTAGTTGCGTACTGGCTGTACACAGGCAGCAGTCATGTGACACTACCAGTGTACTAGTGTACTGGCCATGCACACAAGCAGCAGTCATGTGACACAACTAGTGTACTGGCCATGCACACAGGCAGCAGTCACGTGACACTACTAGTGCACTGGACCTACTGGATATGCACTGGCAGCAGTCATGTGACACGACTGGCGTATTGGCAATGTACTGCATTAGCAATCAGAGTGAAAATTCAATATGCGGTACCTCCAAGGATTGAAAAACTAGAACTCTTTGTCAAGGCACTCTATACCTGAAATGACTGGAAGAGCATATGCAGCATCTACAAACACTTCTCTATACCTCATTCAAAGGGAAAGGAATGGTATATCCAGAGTTCTTGATGCTGTAGTTACGCTGTATAAACAACACAAACTCATCTGGTATAAGGGAAAGAGCTAAAAGTATCTTTCCGGTTCCTTGCAGACTAGTATAGCAAGCCGGATAACCAAGCAAAGACAGCGATTCTAAATACCTACCACACTGACTGAGAAGTTGACCCGAACAAGCGTTTCACCGTTGCGAGACCTGGTAACATGCTGTCCATAGACCGAAACACCTAGGATGCTGGATGATCCAATGTTACAGTTGCCATCCCGGAACAGATCGAAGTCGGTAAACTGTGTGAAGACTGCGCTAAAGTCATCCATGCAGATGTTAGTTGTTTCGTTCCTGTTCTCACATGCTGCTGCGTTAAACGCATCAGATGTCAGCTGTACAGATGCCATGCCAGTCATGGCTCCAGCACCAACAGCCAGAGCAGGGGTCTCATCATCTACAAGTGGAAACAGTGTCAAAGCAAAGACTATGCTGTACTCAGAAAGAAAGCTGATAATGCTCTTACAACGTTCCCTTGGATGCTGAATCCACAAATGCTAACATACAATAAGGGAATCCATACAGAGTGTATTGCAAAATACGATAATGGTACAAGGTATCAACACTTTTACTATATCCAGGCATTCAGCAGGTTGCACAAGTTGTACTAAATCAAGCTATATTGAACAAAAGGACGGTGTAACCCTGTCCAAGAGGAAGTGAGTTCCAAAGGCCGTACAAGAATCTAGTACCATATTTTACCGGTTACAAGTCGACCTTTAAATGACCTGAAAACCGACCTAAAACGGGGCAGTCGACTTCCAACTGGGGTATAACTGCCCTTTTAACCCGGTAAATCGAGGCTGCGGGTTTGGAGGTCAACATATAACCGGGGTCGACTTACCACTGGTAAAATACGGTGTAAATAAATACGATCTGCTGTAGGACTACTCTGGAAAGGCTAGTCCCAAGGAATCACTAGAACTGTGACTACAGTCCATTCAGAAAAAGACGGACTTCTAGCTTTTGGCCATAAACGGGTCAAACTTTGAGTTTTTTTAGAATTTTTTCTTCCAATCCTGGCCTATGGAATCCTCTTCCAATTATGTTTCCGAAGTTTTTTTCGTCCAAAAAGCAAGTCATAACAAGAATAGGATTTTGGCCAGGTTTTGCCCAAAAAACACTGAATTGGGAAAAACCATAAAAATCCAGGCCATTTTCCCCCACCTGCATCAGTGCATTGTGGGGTTCGAACCCCAGTTCAGGTTCCCTTTTTGAACTCTTTATCAAAGTTCCAATTTCGCAGGACTGAACTGTGTACCATGAAATCGCGAAAAATCACCAAATATCGGAGCTCGCCAGAGCCAGGGCCCATCTTTCTTTTTATGAATGGACTGTAGTCGCTGTCATTTTCAGCTCTAAGGTCTTTGACAAGGGAAAGGAAACTATCCGTACGGAGGGACCACTTTTGGTGTGGCCAGTGAATAGTCTGCAGGTTCCAAGTACTCTTCCGAAACCTGAATACGGCAACAGGTCTTGGCTTATCATGGACCATCAAGCATGACCACCTCGTTTAATGATAGCTTGCATAGACCTCGGTCCTACCGGTAGGACCTACCGGTAGGACCATCATACACAGACATGCTGCATGGCCTCTGTTCTAACATTGACCTAAAACTTGACCCTTAACTGTTGCTAAGGGGCTAATGAAGGAGTCCACAAATTTTAGACGTGATCGCGCAAGGCATACTACGAAATTCCATGGTAACAGCTCATGGTAACCATGGAAACGGAGTATGGAATTATGCATTCCACTGCCTTGGCAAGCTATTAAAAACATTAGGACCTCACCACAATTGATTTACCATGGTCAAAATTCACTTTGGACAGAGTAGCTAGCGCACCCACAGGATTATGTGCGGCCATTTTGACATTCGATAAAATTGCGCATACGCAATGCACTGGACATAGCCTTGCATTTTGCGCCATTACTTTGCCTGACAAAGACCTCATCTCAACAATTGTTTCAAGAAATTTCTCAACCAAAGGCACTTTTGCAGCTCGATTTCTTGGGTCCTACCGGTAGGACCCGTGGTCCTACCGTGGTCCTACCGGTAGGACGGTATGCAGGCTATCATTAAAAATACCAGACATCTCTACTTGCTAAGTTACCTGAAAATGAGACCGTGATTGCTGTAGCAGCATCGTTATTAATAATATTAGCACCGGACACGGAGTCGCCAACAACAGTAGCACCTTGCACACTGCCGGCTATTGTCCGGTTAGTCAGAAGCGAGCTGACAGCACTGGACACTGCATTCCTCAATCTGTACAAAAGGGGTAGAAATTCAAGAAAAAAGAATGTCATGATCAATTTGTACATGTCTACAGCATGCGTTGGTATAAACGGAATTCCTTTTTTAAACTTGTGGTCTGAAAGCTTACCATCTCCTTAAAGTACTCACGCCTTGCTCAAGCGACACACAAAGAGAAGTAGCTATTATCGAGTTTGTCAAAACAAAACAGAACCAGACAAGTCACATTGCTCAGTTGACATCGTGCAGTTCCTTCGTAAAAAAGTCTTGAAACTCATCATGTATATAATTCCCATACAAGACTGAAATACCACAATGGTGTCTTACGTCTCCTGGGCATCATCCGCTGCTGCAGCTGTGGCATCTGCTTGCAAGGTGTTGTCAACAACTGAAAAGACATCTCGTGCAATCTGGGACAGGAAGAAGGTATTTCACAAACCATCAAGTCAAGACCATCATTCTTGTAAAAGAGTCCCGTCTCTCGAAAATATTATCAATTTACCACAAATGGGAACAGCCGGCAAAACTGATGGTTCTCAGGCGTTTGCGTAGAGTAACAATCAAATGTGACACAGGAACACAGTTGACAATAGACAGTAAGTATACGACAAATCCCCTCCCACCCACCAACATGTACGATCTAGTGTGGCTTGTAAGGCATTGCACTGATTTGGAGGCCTGTTAAATTGGTCAAGTCGGCAAAACTCACCATGTCCACTGACTCTGGTGGTAAGTCTAGGTTCCCATCAGCCAAAGAATTGGCCAATGCTCCAACAACGGGAATGATGGCACCAATATCAGTGTTGGACAGCTGTCCTGGATTGGCGTTTGTCAAAATATACAGTTCATTGGCAACATCGGCCAGTTCATCCGGTGGAATTGCGCTTTCCAGGATTTCTGTCTGTGATAAGCAGAAATACACGCATCGCAGTTTCCCGATCGAATGCAGACCTTCCTTCATGTTGTACAAACATGCTTAGATTCTTAGTCCATACACAGCACTTCAAGTTGTGAGCGTCAATTTCAGTAACACTTGAGTTTTCTAGCGGTTGTCCCATGTTTGCAGCACTGTGAACATGTGTCTAAAAGGATATACTTCAAGTAGTTGAAATGGTACATGACATCACCTGACAAGATATTGCAACACTACTGCTCAGATTGTGAAAAGAATACCAAATCAGAGAACAAATCATTACTATCCGATAAACCTTACCTGACGTTCCAGAAGTCTTGCGGTGATATCTGGGTTTAATTCATACACACACACACACACACACACACACACACACACACACACACACACACACACGCACACACACACACACACACACACACACGTACACATCCCTGGTTCAAGCCCTGGTGGTGACAGTCAATTTTTTCTTCAGACTTTTCCCGTTTACATCTTTCCCTCAAACCAATGAACACGCACATAAAATTATATAGATTTGCACGTGCGCACACGCATGCACACACACACACACACACACACACACACACACACACACACACACGCACACACGCAGACAAACAAATGCACACGCACACATAGGAAGATAAAACACTTTATTATTATTTATTATTATTATTATTTATTATAGGCTTTTCCGCGTTGGCATCGCCAAGCAAGCTTGGCTAGCCTTCGCATAAGCTGCTCCATAATGATGAGACGAAACAATGAATGTATGTATACACGATCTAGGACAGAACCAAGGTTGAGGATATTTTTGAAGAAAGCTGCAAGTTGTGTTGAGGAACACAAAGTTGCAAACTCTACGAAAGTAAACTGCAAGAAATGTTTTGGCGTTGATCTCATGATTATTGTAGTCACAGGTTGTGTTAGTAGCATTCAAGGTTGTGTTTTCACAGGTATATTGTTTACATTCCTATTCTTTTACAGGATAATATTTTCACAAAATATGTTGGTCAATGAGTTATGTTATGGTACACCGTACGGCCATGCAGCTGCCACAGGTGGAAGCAGTATTAGGCTTTGATGTATGCTTTTATCACATTGCTGCATAGGTCTTTCCAGTCTTGTCGTGACTGGGAGATGGCATGGAGGTTCTCAAGTTCCTCGCGTTTCTTGAGCGACCCCCGATACGCTGCAGGTCCTGGTGCAGACTCAGTGGCAGAGTGGTACGTGGCCGGCCCCGCCAGGTGGCAGCGGAACTTGGGTTTTCGAAGTATGCTGCCATCATAACGCGTGCTGGTACATCGTCGTTTAGTCTCAGGACATGGCCAAAGAGCCGCCACCTCGCTCTCACAATGGTTTCCCCAAGGGGCTGGGAGTTGGTGCGTTTATACAGCTCGCTATTTTTGATGACTTGAGGGTACTTGATCCCGACGACTGTTCTCAATTGACGTCTGTGGAATGCTTCCAATCGCTTGATGACATTGCTTGGGACTCCCCATGTTGAGCAATTGTACAGGAGTATTGGTGTGATAAATGCATTGTATAGCTTGACACGTCTGTTCTCTCTCACCTGCGAGCCTCTCACCCACAGTGCCCAAAGCCGTTGAAACGCACCTGTGGCCAGCTGCATACGCCGAGATACATCTTCCCTGTCACCCAGTAGCGATCCCAGCTTCCGGGTCAGCCTCCATTCTTCTGCGATGCAGTCGCTGAACCTCTCGATATGGGTGAATTCTGTCTTGGTGGAGTTAACTGTCAAATCCCATTGCTTTAAGGTGTCCCCAATAACAGGGAGGCTTTATGGCGCAATAATATGGTGCATAACCAATCAAATCATCTGGAGGATGCCCAACAATACAAAATTCAGTAATCATGTCATTTTAAAGTCATGGTGCAGTTCACAGCACTGACTGATACTTCAGTAATTGAAATTGTTCTTTTGCAAAATACGCTACATGCATATTGTGGATATTTAGAAGCAGCCCCACATGCTTAGGTGTTTCTACTAACGTTTCTTTTGCTCCTCAGCCACAATGATAAACATAGTGACAACAGAT